GTGAGTACTTACCTATATTGATTCAGGAAAACTCAGATTATTGCTGTAATTTAATTTCTAGATCTCAAATAAAAAGTTTCCTCTGAATTTTTCCCAGAATGTAATAGAAGTTTTACAATAAATTACCCTAAATACCCTCTAACTACGCCAATGGCGGCCAATGTCAAGAGTAAAATGATATCAAATTTCTTACCGCCGAAATATCGAATTCTGCTTTGAATTCTTACAGATAATACATCGACGTACCATTGTTACTGTCTCCACCACACTTTCTATAGTTTTGAATCCAAAAATAACACTCAAAATCACAAATTTAGCTTGATCACTTTCCAGCAACACTGCCAAATCCCTAATGGATGCCAAAAGTCACATAAAATCATCTGATTGGCTGCTCGTAGATGCAACGTTGCCGATGTGCCGTTTTTCGAGCCATATATTCCTGGTTATTCCAGAATTTTCACCAAATTAAATTAAAAAAAGACTAATTATCATTTTCAAAAAGGCGTTTAAGTTATGTTTCAACAAAGATTGATATAAAAAAACATTTAAATTATGTTGAAACATATTTTGAAATAATGATTATCCGTGAAAACATTTAATATTGAAAATCACATCGGATTATTGGCAACCGGGCATTTCATGCAAAAATCGACCTTATGGATGTTGGATCGCAAATTGTTTGTTTACTGTTGTATCTGTCGTTTTTAGTTGTTAATCTGAGGGCGTGTAACCTAAGAATATTAACTGACACCGCCTGATGACAACCATGTCTTTGGGTTCAGTGGCACCGAAAACACCAAGGAAATAAAGCAAAAAATTAATAGGAAAAAAATTCTTGAGTTTCACCAATAACCACGCCACTGGTGCTGTCGTTCAGGCTCTAACCCAGTGGTTCCCAAACTTTTTTAACCTACCGCCCAATTTTAGAAAATGGGAATTATCCAACGCCCACCTTGGCAGGGATTCAAGATATTGAAGCAGCGCCATTTTTTTTGAAAATTTTCATGGTCGTGCATTTTCCTGGCGAGGGACTGAGCGTCCAAGCTACCTCCCCAGTAGGATTTTGTCAGAAAATGACCCAGTATGGAAATTTTGAGAAAAACCGGATACAGCACAATTCAGCACACTTCAGATTGCATAAGAATCCATTTTTGTTTCAATCTTATTTCCAAAATTTTGGGAGGCTGAGCGTCAAGTTAGCCCCCCCAGTAGGATTTTGTCGAAAAATTACCGAATATAGAAATTTTGAGAGAAACCTGATACAGCACAGTCTAGCACACTTCAGTCTGCATAAGAATCCGTTTATGTTTGATCTGCTGTACAATTTTTTTTTTGGGGGGAGGGGCTGAGTGTTATGTTAGCTTAGAGTCCATTTTTGTTTCATGTTATTTCCTAAATTTTGGGGGGTGAGCGTTAAGTTAGTCTCCCAATAGAATTTGGCCTGAAAATTACCGAATATGGGAATTTCGAGAAAAACCTGATACAACACAGTCCAGCACACTGCAAATTGCATAAGAATTAAGAATGCATTTTTGTTTCATCTGATTTTCAAAATTTTTGAGAGCTGAGCGTCAAGTTAGCACCACCAGTAGGATTTTGTCGGAAAATGACTGAATATGGAAATTTTGAGGAAAACCTAATACAGCACAGTTCAGTACACTAATTCAGATTGCATAAGAATTCATTTTTGTTTGATTGGATTTCCAAAATTTCGGGGGGGCTGAGCGTTAAGTTAGCCCCTCATCTTGTTTTTCCTATAACTTTGGTATCAGAACAGCGCAGTTCAAAGTGGTTGCAATTTTGTTAGAAAATTGGAATGTGGGGTGGCTAACTTGACAGAGCTTATTTTTTAGCTTTTTGAAGTTATTTATAAGTAAAATACAATAACTTTAAGGCAGCTGCTGCTGATCAATGCGCGTATTAGCGGTATCGCATTTTAAGCAAGTCATAGCAGACTTAGTTGAGGTGCGTGCGGGCTTCGGGATTTGCGTCGGAACTCTCGGGTTGCGTCGGAACTTTCGGGTTGCGTTCATAACTGGAAGCTTGCCAAAATTGACTCCGAAAGGCATAGACATAGACTATCAGCCTTATCTTTATAGTATTGAAGAGTAATTTCCGTAAAAAGCCATTCACTATTCAATTTTAATTTTTTTTCTGATCTGTTCGGTTATTTTCCACCGCCCACTAATTTATGTTTACCGCCCCCCAAAATCAGCTGAGCTCTTTACCGCCCCCCGAGATGGTTGTAGCGCCCACTGGGGGGCGTTATCGCCCACTTTGGGAACCACTGCTCTAACCAATAGAATCATGTCTCCTGAATAATCACGCCTCTCCACATCCTTCATTTCGCAATGCTGCCGGATTTTATCCTATTTCAAAATGCTACACATGCAAAAAAAAATGTCACCAACTTGTTTATTATTGTTTCTGTCAAGTTTGGCAAAGCAGCAAATTCTTTTGCAGTTCGCCGTTTCGCTAGCCAGACAATACTTAAATCAAGAAAAAAATTCTAAGATCTCTCGTGAAAACCGCATTCCTATGTTCAAAATAGTTTCCGAGAAAATTCCTCGTGAATATAAATTATGCTGGAACTTGTGATGTCACAACCGCCGAAATCTCAGTCTTCTGTTCGTTCAGTCGTCAGTGAACCGTACTCTATACTTCGAGTGGTTGCAATTTGCTCTAGGAGATAATTGTCTTTTGTTTTGGAAAATTCTTACACCTATTATTACTATCCTTGATAATCTAGAAGAAGTGTAACGTCACAAACACCTAGTTGTAACTTTAAACCGCTCTAACTCGAAAACGGACCATCGTAGCATGATGCGGTTTAAATATTTATTCTTAGATTTTTTGAACTAAAATTTTCATTTTTGGGTCACACCCCCTTCAAGCGTGTCTCATGTCACTGATTTTGAAATGGAAATGAAAGTTTCATCGCTTAAAAAAGCTAGAACTTATAAACATTTTTGGCAGATTTGCAGCAACTCTTGATTAGAAAATACCAGTTATATACAGGGTGTCCAAGATTAGAATGTCTATCATGGAGATCTCGTAAACGTTAACAGATACGACAATGGTTAAATGGGAAAAAGTTGCGCTATTTAATGACTAACAAAATGCATCCAAGAAATTTTAAAAAAATTTACATTTTCTAGAGATGTTCGAAAAAAAAAAAAAACCTAAATTTTCCGAGGGAAATTTCCGTTTTTCACGATTATCTTCGGAAGTTGTCAGAATTTTTAAAATTTCTTGCATGCATATTGTTAGTCATTAAATAGCGAAAACTTTTTTCCCATTTAACCATTTTCGTATCTATTATCGTTTACGAGATCTCCATGATGACACCCTGTATTCCGCTTGAAAGGTTTTTTTCACGCACAAAAAATAAGTTTTTAGCTACATATAACGGATTCTAAATTATTTAGCAAAATTATTGTTCATGAAAATCGAAAGAAAAATCAACAATTTCATTAAAGCAAGTATTTCTGGTATACCTAAATGATGATGTAAAATATACTGTTGGAAAGCGCATTTTCTTCTGATTATTATTCACTAATGATGTAAGTTAATATCAAAATACCAACTCGAGTTATATTGGGAAATGTAGAATCATGTCCCAGAATTAGGCGGCAATAATGATGACGTCATCAACGCCACTAGAGGGCCAGAAAAATTCGTATCCTGGGCTTCTTAGACGCGCCTACCCATGTACTATCTGAACCCAAAGGGGCGCATTGGTTGCCAGACTTGAAATATTCTGGTATAATTTTCAGTTACCTCACCCCACTACTATACTTTTTATATGACATCCAACTCAAAATTTTGAATACAGGTTATAATGATTACAGTTTATTTTGTCGCGTGAATCCAATGAGGTGCTTACTTAAATAAAAATAAGTGAAGTGAAAAAAAACAAGCAATGCAAATTTGATTCACTCACACATAAACATAGGAACAATCCAGTATGAACAAATGTTGTATGGTTATAGTAGATCTCCCTGATTTCATAATTGACTACGTCAACTACGGGAAGCAAACCACTCTTCTAAACGACCAGTGGCGGCTCGTGACAATCCAAACTGGTGAGGCCCATGGTCCATCAAGTTAACCCGAACAAAATTTTCAAGTGTTACGCCCAAATTTTGACCCAAAATTTCATTAAAAGAACATCTCGGATATTTTTTTTTGTATATTTCTAATGAAAATATTCATTTCTTACAGTTGCAAAACAACAGCAGTAGGTACATAATTCTTATTTTAATACAAATATTGAGTTTCAAATTAACAAAATAAATTCCAAAAACATTTTTTTTAACCCGCAACAGACCAAAATAAAAAGTATGAGCCAATTAACCAATTAAATACTTGTCGCAGCAGCAAGAGATGCAAGGTTTCTTATTAACAAGCCCAAAATTGTGCGCCTCAATGCCTATAAAAATTCGCTATCGTCTCACCTACAGTTGAAGGGTTGTGGCGGGGAGTGCCGTGGCATCGCTTCGGCGTTCTGTGACGCACATGAGGCCAAAATTTTTGGGATTGCTATTTTATTTTAATGCTGTCCGGCAACGATTTGAGCGCCTATAAGGATAAATAGGTAGAAGCGCGCGCTAAATTCAAGAAATAGTATTATATTTTAATGAAAATTCGATGTTTTGATTCTTTTAATGATTGAAAATAGTTGAAAAACGTTAAATATTTATTGAATATTATTTCAAAATTTTACATCATTATTGTAATTTTTACATGTGAGGCCCGGCCTCAGTTGCTTTATACGACGAGCCGCCACTGTAAACGACATATATGTATACTTAATAGGGGTGCCATCACTAGCATTTTGTTTTGTCAGATTTTGCACAATTTCTACAACTGAGGGAAAACGTAAATTTGGCAACGTTACACTCCGTATGGTTTGTAACACTATTATAAATTCTACTGAATCTATTATTGCTAATTGTCTGTGAGGAAGGTTTGACTATAAAATTAAATTTTGTTTTTAGATGAGCTTTATTTGGCCTGCTACAAATTTGACAGTCAAAAAGAGGAAAATTGGCAACGTGCACGGGTCGTTGGCATTACAAACACCGAAAAAGGACCTGCTTATGAAATGTTTTTCATTGATTTGGGCAAAACCGAAGTGGTAGATTGGAAAAAGTATATTTACATTCCAAAATATAAAAAACAATTATTAAAAGCATGTTTTTTGTTTTAGGATAACGGCACTGCCGAGCATTTTAGCTAAACAGCAACCGTTGGCCATCCAATGCTCCATATATAATGCAATGGTTTCTTCTTGGCACGAAACCGCTCATTATTCATTGCTTCACATTATTCAAGGCAAGGAAACTTATGTGACGGAAATGTGTTATAGGAACGGCATTCACGAGGTGGATCTTATGGTTGCCTCTTTAGATGGAGGACTCACATCTGTAACTGATATGTTGGTGCACGTTGTTGGCGCTGTTGTGAATGACAATGAAGATTCTACAACTTTTATTCAACCAAAAAAGGTATTTGTGTAGTAAACTTTTTTTTGTTTTATTTTTCAGTTTTAAATGCTGTTTTTTTTGTCAGAATTATTTATTTATTTATTTATTTATAATGTCAAACGGTTGATAAATAAATCCAACCTTTTCAAGGTGTTCCAGAGTGCACACCTTACATATTTAAAAAAAAATTATTTCATAGTCAAACACAAAACACACAATTTAAAAGTAACGCGCATTAGAAACTTGAAAGGCCCTTTATACCATAAGAGGTGGGGATGTATGCTTTTTCTACATTTGATTTTGGGTTGGTGAATAATAAAATATACTACTTGCTTCCAGGGCAAAATTATTCTACCCTCATTCAAGATCTTTCCAAATAGCAGTAAATTCACAAAGAACCAGACTGAAAAAGTCATCATTGCCAATGTTATTGATCCGGATAATATTTTTGTGCATTTGGTAAGAGTTTTTTAAATTTATAGATTTTTAATTTAATTTTAATCATGTGTCTTTTCAGGTAAAGGATGTTGGAAAGTATAAACAGATGAATCTTGCTATCAAAAAGTACTATAAAGCTCCCACCACCAAAGCATGTTTTCCAATTGAAGGTAATTATAGATAATTTTGTAGCAGTTTGCATGTGAACCATAATAATATTTTACTTTTTTAGGTTCCTATGCGATTGTCGAATACAAAGACTCAATCAGATCAAATTGGCACCGAGCGCTGATTAAAAATGTGGACTTGAAAACCAATAAAGTTCAGGCTATGCTAGTGGACTGGGGTTTGAATGTATTTGTTCCAACATCAAAAATTCGACCTCTAATAGAGACATTCACAAAACTAGAAACCCAAGTAAGTATGCCTAGACTCCATTCAAATGAATTCAATTGAATAATTATCATTTTTTCCTAGGTTGTCTTATTAAAGCTATACCACATTGTCCCCTATAATAAACAAATGAATTGGTCGTCACAGATGGCTACAAACTTTCTACAATTCTACCAAACGCGTCAAGAAGAGTTAAAAATGATCGTTTATGAGCATCATCCTAAAATAGAAGTGGCGTTATTTGAAATCACTGGCAACGTGGATATTTGTATTAACACCAAGCTTGTTGACAATAATTTTGCTGATTCTGTTGGACCAATGTAAGTATCTTTTGATAAGCCAAGCAAATTCTTGTATGCATATTTTAATCATCAGATCAATATTATAATTTCTATGCTAAAAAATTTTTTGAAGGAATAAAAAAACCTTCCATTTATTCATAGTGAAAGATTTCCCTTTTGATATGGGAGAACCTTGGTGTCGGTATTTTCACAGTGCCCTGTAGAGGTGACGACTGTGAAGGGTTTTCGTCTTTAGGTAGAGTGCAGCCTCACACTCTGGGTATAGGCTTAGGGTTTTGTGGTAAGTGAGTAATACACCAGTAAAGGTTTGATACTAATTTATTATTTGAAATGAGCCGATATTTATACACAAAAATTATTAATAAAATAAACGTAATTTGGAATGATGATGATTTTGCAGATTGCTGCAATTAGGTTGGTATTTTAAAACTTGCTAGTTAATTAATAACAATATTGGATTATTGTTTGTATTACATGGTTGCGTCAATGCAGGTCAATATAATCAAACTGGTCCACTTTATGGTTTTTTAACTAAATCCTATAAATTTCTCTTATGGCTAATTTTGAATACTTCTCAAGATTAGACATTCTGGCCGCCGCAATCTTGGTCAGCTGCTGGCATCGGTGTCAATTTCGTGGTTCCTGCTGTAGCTTCGAAGCGGTTCCAAGGGTATTCCCTTGATATTGTGGTCTTCTTGACGTCTTGGTTTCGTCTTATGTTTTCGATACCCAAGATATCCCAAGAGTGCCAAGATTATGATGGTGATAAGTGTACTCGATGTAACAGTGCCGAATACTGCTAGGTGGTGTATGGAAGCCCAATGCGTTTCTTGTAGTTGCTGTTGAATATCTGATTCTTCCTCTTCAATTCTATCCAAAGATGCTGAGGCTTCTAGAACTGGTTCTTCTAGAATTTCGTGTCCCAATTGGAAAACGAACGCATCTGTTGTGTTTGGGTTGATCGGTTGTGTCATGGATGCCAGAACAGTCACTGATTCAGCTCTTTTTGGAGTTAAAATGTTTTTGTTGGTTTTTATGATGCAGTTCTGGGATATGACCACAATCCCTGTTTTGTTGAGTGTCACTTCTTCACGAATGCCATCGCAGATGATTGCTACTTTGACTTGGTCTGCGCTAATGAACATCCAAGCATTAGGTGTATTCAAACGTTTCCATATGATACTAGATATCAAGGTCTTTTTTCGTAGTGCGCACGAAGTGTTTTGCGATCGTTGATAGACTTCATCGATGATGCAGTTGGGAGTAGCTTCTATGGTTCGAGTCGTAGTCGGTGCACAGATGAATGCATCTTGACTGATGCTGATGCAATTTTTTAGTTCTGCTTCACTGAGCTGGAAGTATAACTGGGAATTGTAGTCTACTGCAATGAATTCGTTTGGCACATCGAGTATCCAGTAAGTTTCTTTTGTTATTTTGGTTGGGATTGGTGTTGCCTTGATAAGCACAAACTCGTTGTTCTCTGTAATGATGAAGTAGCCAAATATGTGAATGAAGTCCTTGCTGTGTTGAACTTTGGTCTGCAGGATTGGGTATGAGATTATTTTAAGGTTCGTTGGAAGTTTTTTGTTGGCTGACGCTATGGTTTCTTCAACGTAAGCTGGAGATATGACTTCAAATAGATGTCCACGGTGATAATGGATGTCCAAAAGTTTTTGATGGTTATCAGTGACTTCATCTATGTAATTTGCCACTATTTGGTACGCACTCAATAAATGAATATTAAGTTTGTTTTCGTCAATTCGTCTGTACCAGTTCTGCATTTCATTGATTGCTTCAAGGCCTTCATTGAGTTTCTTCCTGAATCTTTCTAGATGGTTGTTGATTCGTACCTCTGTCTGATTAAATGTAGCCAGAGCATGTAGCATAAACTTCGCTTGATGATTTGAGGTCTTGATGAGTTCCTTTTGATTTTTGTCTAATTCTTCAATGTCTGCGTACACTTCATCGTTGACTCCAACTACTGATGTGAACAATTTTCCCATAAGTCCTCGCTTATTACGATTGGTCATCACGTTCTGCATCCCTCTGTTCATCCAATCGACGTGTTGCTGTTTTTCTTGAAGGTGGTGAATTAGCGATGAACACTCCGTGTTGGATGCTAATTCTCTGGCTCTCTCACAAAGAGTCGAAACTTGCCGAATTGATGAATTTATGTTGATGGTGTCATTCCATAATCTAGACTTGTTGAATCGGAGTTCCATTCTAAAGGTTCCCCTATCTATCTTTGCGTGTCCAATGTGCTCTATATAGAGGCCTGGAGGAGGATACTGTATCTCGTATTTTTGGGCTGAAGTATTTCTCAAGGCAAACATAAATATCAGTGCCGAAATTATTATTCTCCAAGTTCTGACATGGTTCCAACTTTTGTCTGGTAGTAGGGAGTTGATCTCTGCCATTCGGTTTGCGACAAAGGTCTTCCATCTTGTAACGTCTCCCTTTATCCATGATAATGTTATCATTGAATCAGTCCATGCATATTTATCAACTTCCTCCATTGATAATGCAGTGACGGTTCTTTTCATGAGTTTTGCAAGAAGAACAGCTGCACATAGTTCTAGTCTGGGGAGTGTAGTTCTTGTTTTTGTGGGAGCAACTTTCGATTTGGCTGTGAGAAGTGATATTTTGGCTGGACCTTCCTTGCTGTTAACTTTGAGATAGATGACAGCGCCGTACGCTCTTTCAGAGGCGTCGCAAAAACCATGTAGTTCCTTCTGACTGTTTGTCGTTTGGTTGGTCCATCGGGGAAGCAAAATGTCTTCCACCGCTTTTAGTTCATCTTGGAAAGACCTCCATTTTGTCTGGATGTTAGCCGGAATCGAGTCATCCCATTTTAAATTTTGTAGCCATAGATCTTGAATTAAGAGCTTAGCCTTAATGACTACTAGAGCTAACCATCCTAACGGATCGAACAGCTTCGCAACTTCGGAGAGAATAATGCGTTTGGTAATTTTTTGTTCCATGTTGACTTACGTTTTGAATCTGAAGGTGTCATCGTATGGTGCCCAATGGATTCCCAAGGATTTTCGTGTGCCGTCTTCAGTGATTTCTTGTAGGGATTGTTCTCTCAGTTCTTCATTCAGAGAATTGAGGATTTGTATATGGTTGCTGGACCATTTACGCAGGATGAATCATCCAGCTTTGAACATGCCTATGAGTTCTGTCTGAAGATTGATGGCTTCTTCGAGCGTATCTGCCCCGGAAAGCAGATCGTCGACGTAGAAATCCTGTTTGGTCACTTTAGATGCTAGTGGGAAATTGTCTTTTTCATCTTCTGCCAGTTGCTGTAAGGTTCTAATGGCCAAGTATGGAGCTGAGGTGGTTCCATATGTGACTGTCGTTAGCGTGTATTCTTGTATGGCTTCATTTGTTCCAAATCTCCATAGAATTGTTTGGTATTTTTGGTCATCTGGGTGAATTTTAATTTGCCGATACATTTTCTCGACATCTGCTGCTAATACAATTTTATGCGTCCTCCAACGAAGTAATATGTCTGGCAATTCTTGCTGAAGTTTCGGGCCTGAGTACATTGCATCATTGAGACTGATACCACTCGAAGTTTTGCTAGAGGCATCGAATACTACTCTCAGTTTTGTTGTCGTGCTGGAGTATTTTATTACAGGCTGGTGAGGAATGTAGTATGGGCTATTGTTTGGTTGCGGGCATATTCTCATATGATTGAGCTTCAGGTATTCTTCCATGAATTGAGCGTATTTTTCTTCGAGCTTAGGATCTCTTGAAAATCGCTTCTCTAGCTGTAGTAGTCGTGCTGCACGTGATCTTGAGATCCCTAGCTGTTCTAGTTTATCGTTAAATGGAATCTTGACTGTGTATGTACCGTCGCTGTTTCTTCTCGTGTTGAGTTGATAATGTTTTTCACAGAATTCATCTTCTTCCGTGGTTGGCCTGCTTTGGGCTACTTCTTCTAGTTCCCAAAATTTCGCTAACTGCTGATATTCTTCAATGCAAGTTATTAGACTGACAACTTGCATATTTTTTCTCTCATGTCGTAGAATGTTTCCGGATAGAATCCACCCAAATTCGGTGTGCTGTCCGAGTAATCCATCTTTTGTTTTTCGAATGCCCGTCTGGATTATCTCTCCATATTCTTTTGCCCCCAAAATGATGTCGATTGGCCCTGGTCGGTGGAACGAAGGGTCAGCAAGTAAGTCGTTTTTCCATTTGTCGATGTTTACGGTGATTTCTTCACTTGGTAGCGTCCTTGTTAATTTGGGTAGAACAATACAAGGAATCTCCATTGAGAAGTTGCTTGGGAATCTTGGCTTGACGTTTATTTTCACCATCCATTTTGCGACTTGAGGTTCTGCGCTTCCAAGTCCGGATACGTCGGCTCTTATGCGCTGACGTGGTATGGATAGTAATGAGGCAGCTTCTTCAGTTATGAACGTGGATTGGGAGCCTGTATCTATTAGCACACGTAAATGCTCAATTATCCCTTGATTATTTTGGGCTTTGACAACTGCTGTTGCCAATAGGACCATCTCGTTGTGTCTTCCGAGGTGATTGGTTGAGACTTGCCTTGTGTCTCTGCGGTGGTGTTGATTTGTTTGGCCGTGTCTGTTGTTTGGTTGCTGGAAGCTTCTGGGTCCGTTTTGGTTTCTCTGTTCGTTAAAGTCTACATGTACCATTGTATGGTGGAATTTCTTGCAGGTGTGACATACGACGGTTGAATTACATCTTATGTGCGCTGGGTGTCTCAGGCAATTTATGCAGATCTTCTTCTCCTTGATGACTTTAAGTCTTGCAGCTGGAGTTAGTGCTTGGAACTTCTGACAGTTGTAGATGCTGTGGTTAGACTCGTTGCAGTATCCGCAGTTTTCAGTTGTGCTGTGGGTTTGCTCGCTGGACTTCTTTTTACCTGGTATGCAAGCTTCAAGGGATTGAAATCTTGTTTGCAGAAATTTGAGTACGTCGTCTAGCTGATGCATTTTGTTTGGCTCTCGCAACGATTGCTCGAATAATCGATTTGTCTCGGAGTCCCATTTGCGGCAGATTAGTCTTGAGATTAATGGTCCCCATGATTTGGTGTCTACCTTCATGTTGTTGAGCGCTTCGACACATTCTATCATTGCGTCATGTAGTTGCTTCAGCTTGTATGCTGATTCGTGAGTGATTGATGGTGCTTCCAATATCTTATCAATCAGCTTGTTGATGATTAGTCTCTCGTTGTAGTATCTTCTCTCGAGAATGTTCCAGCTTGTACTGTAGTTGTCACTGTTTATCTGTAGATGTTGAATGACTCTACTGGCTTCAACTCGTACGTGAGTCTTCAGATATTTCAACTTTTCGATGTCGGTGAGGTCATTATTCTCATGAACAATTCTCGTGAAAATGTCCCTGAAGGTGGCCCATTCTTCATATAATCCGTCAAACATTGGCAGCTTCACTTGAGGCAGCGATATGTTGTTTGACCTTGGATGTTGGATAATGACAGTGGGCATGGCTTGTGGCAATGCTGGAGTGTTTGGATGATTGGTTGTAGATTCATTCGGCTGTAGCTATAGGAGTATCTGCTCGTGTTGTTTCTCAAGTGCTTTATATGCGATTTTGTAAGGTGTATGGACCGATTGAATTTCGAGTTGTAGGTACAGGTCCGAAATCTGTCTCCATTTCTCGATTATTTTGTATTGGAGCTGCTGACGGCGATTGGTTGGGGTGCGATCATCTATTTCTGCAATAGTGTCGTTGAGGAATTCTTCCATCTGGTTAAGCAGTGCTGTTAGTTTTGATGTCATCTCGTTTTGTTTTGTTCGGGCTTCGGCCTTTTTTATACCGTCTTCTATGTAATCCACTGTGTCAGTGTAGACCTCCTTGAGTTGTTCAATGTAGTTCGTGGTATGGTAATTGTGGGTGGGGCAACTCAATTCGTTGATCTTCTTGTCATTCTCATAGATTGTGGTCCATAATGATTCCACTGATTTGATTTTTCCTTCGAAGTATTGGATTGTTTTTCGGCTTGTGGCATCTTTTTTCATATTCGTGAGAATACGTTGTAGGTCTCGCCCGTGTTGTTGTTGTTCCAGCGCAAGACGGTCCATCTCTTCGCCTATGGTAGGCATTTTTCTGAATTTGGGTGAAGTTGTGTTTTTTCACTTGTTGTTGGACGGCGGTGACTGATGCACTTGACCGACTGGTTGACTTGATCCACTACTGATGATGGTTTGTCTGCTCGATGTGACTTGGAAATGACGTTAGAGTGTAATATTATTGAAGTTCTTTTGAAGTTGAGAATGGACGGCGGTGGCTGGTGCACGTGATCCGTCGGTGGCGATCGAAGGTTTTCTGGTTTTTTTTTTTTTTGAGGTTTGGAAGGACCTTATAGGTATAGGACAGTGGAGGTTTTGAGGTTTGGAAGGACCTTATAGGTATAGGGCAGTGGAGGTTTTGAGGTTTGGATGCTTAGACCGGTATCTAAGCGTTAACCCCGAAGGGCGCGAAAGTGTGTGTAATTGAGTGTAGGAATGAGTGTAGGAATGAGTGTATAGCCAGACAAAGCACTTGCTATACTAGGGATTGACTGAAAACAACCACTCCCACCCAAGGGCTTGCTTGGGCACCGCGCAGGCTTGAGAGAATCCTAATCAGTCGGGATGCTGTAGCCAGACAAAGCACTTGCTACAGCAAGGAAAGAAAGGTATTTTTGGATGGTTGTTTAGACCGGTGTCTAAACGTTAACCCCGAAGGGCGCGAGTGTATGGGTAATTTGAGGAGTAGGAATGAGGGGGGGACTGTTGGGAAGGTCTGGTTTTCAACCTTTATCTTCTTCTTCTTTTGCTCGAAGGACCAATGAAAGATTTCCCTTTTGATATGGGAGAACCTTGGTGTCGGTATTTTCACAGTGCCCTGTAGAGGTGACGACTGTGAAGGGTTTTCGTCTTTAGGTAGAGTGCAGCCTCACACTCTGGGTATAGGCTTAGGGTTTTGTGGTAAGTGAGTAATACACCAGTAAAGGTTTGATACTAATTTATTATTTGAAATGAGCCGATATTTATACACAAAAATTATTAATAAAATAAACGTAATTTGGAATGATGATGATTTTGCAGATTGCTGCAATTAGGTTGGTATTTTAAAACTTGCTAGTTAATTAATAACAATATTGGATTATTGTTTGTATTACATGGTTGCGTCAATGCAGGTCAATATAATCAAACTGGTCCACTTTATGGTTTTTTAACTAAATCCTATAAATTTCTCTTATGGCTAATTTTGAATACTTCTCAAGATTAGACACATAGGATTTTTGAGTAACTGTGTAGTTTGTAGCTTAGGAATGATAGTTGTCCTTTCCATTAATAGGGTACTTGCATGGAAAATTAAATTGATTATTGTTTATTGCAAACTGTAGGAAATCGAAAAAAAATCGTTACTTTTTTTTCATTTCGCCCAAATATGATTATTTCGGAAGTTATACAAATATTAAGTTTTGTATGTATAGATATACTGAGCATGTGCGACGTCATAAAGTATTATACCTGATGACGTCATAGGCATATTTCATAGCGTTGTATCTCCGTCAATTTTTGACTAAGAAGAAAAAGAAAAAACACGTGTTGACTTTTTTTTCATGGACTATCGAAATCAGCAATAAAAAAATTTGATGCAAGGGGCCTATTGTTGTTTTGTTTAAATTTCGTCATTGCTTGAAGTAGTTGTTTTTTACTTGAACATATAGCATGTTTTGAATTGATTTTAGATCGACTATTTTGGAATGGCCCCAATATGAAGCACCAGCCCCAGTCTCTGAACAAGGCGGTTTCATGTCAACTTTACTTCAAAAAGTCAACGATGAAGCAAATGGAGAATCTGATTCAGAGGACGCTTCTTATGCTGGCGTCAAAAAGCGACGAGTTGACGTCATTAAAGTTGAAGACCCCAATAATATTTGGGTGAAATACGAAGACTTGAAGAATAAAGAGAGAGAACTGATTAAAGGATTAAGTATACATTATAGCCAAGAGAAACACAAGAAAGATAAGTGGGAAATTGGAATTAAATGTGTGACCGAAGATGAAAATGCCTATGTTAGAGGAACAGTCTTGGAACAAATCAGTGAAAATTCTTATAAGATTTACCTCTATGATAAGGTAATTATTATTTAAATAACTTTATAAACTCTTTATTGCCAGTCTGAGCTTGCATCTCGACAGGCAATCTCTACGGTTGTTCGGGAATTTTCAACTTTTCTTCCTAGGTATTCAATACACTATTGAATATTTGTTGCTCGTACCCTGTGTTTTTTTATCTTTCATGCCATTTTGATGACCTGTATGTAGGTACATACATTGTTTACGCACAGGGGATTAGAATGTTATCAAAGGTAAAAAAACGCCCGGTACATATTTTGAAATTAAACTTTTATATTTAGGTAAAGGAAATAACAACTACAGTAGATAAGATTTACGTTTTGGACAACTTTTTGGCCAGATATCCTCAAGTGGCATTGAAAGCCCATTTAGCTTACATTCGACCTGCAGGTGACACTGGTAAATGGAGCATTGCCGCAATTGAAGCTTTGCAGGAAATTTTCAACAGACATAAAAGGATTTACGCCATTATGGTGCAGGAAAAAGAAGAGGATGTACCGAATAAAAGCATACCTCTAGATATGTGGTAAGTAATTGTTATGCTACGCTAAAAAAAAAAATACCTTTTTTGGCTACATTTTTTAAACTGAGGGGGTTGGGGGGGGGATACACTATAGACACAGCATATACAAAAACAATCAGCAGGCTAACTCTCACGCGCATCTTTTTTGCGCACGCCGCCATTAGGGGATACCATCCTGTCATTAAACGGCAGGGACGCCAACATTTCAATTTATTTGTTTATTTCTGACGGAGGTCATAGGCGTGCGGTGTAGAGCGGAATTTCAGTTATTATTTTCAAAGTGATTTTAGTATATTCGCGTTGTCATTTATGGTGTTATGAGTTATCATTCTTGTATATTTAATAATAATAATAAATTAGTAATTATAAATATTATTATACGTAAGTAATAATAAATCAGTTTATTTTAAGTCCATACGACTCTGTAACACGAAAGAAAAAATCTAAATTATTGGTCGCATTCACCGGACGTAGCGTAAAGCGCTACCGCTACCTATCGGTAGCAGTCGCGGTTGGGAACGTGTTGGTCGTTCGCTGTCAAGTCGTTTCTCTTTCTGTTTTCGTTGACTGAGAAAGAGGTTATGTTTTTATATTTTGTTTGTTTATTTTTTGTTTATGTGTTAAAAAGTCGAGTATAAAGTGCTTAACAATTTTTTTAAACAATTACGAGGTGTAATAATATATGAGGTACCATTAAAAATGGACCTTGACTTCATAATTCAAAATGAAATTATGGAGAATAATTTGAATATAAATGTACTTGGTCAACTGGCTCTGGAATTAGCAGAACCAATTCGATTATTTGAGGACAATGAAGGAGGTAGACGTGTGATACCAAAAAATCAAAATTATTATGAAGTAACAATACGCAGTTATGAAGGAAAATTATTCTATGAACATTTTCGTATGATGAGACCTACATTTGAGGTGTGTATGGAAGATAATTGTGTAACTGAATGTGAAAGTTCTATTTTAGAATTTATTACAAAATCTGGGAAACATTGGAGCTGTAAGACAATCGGTGATACCTTTTGAAAAAAAAGTTCTATTTACTATATGGGTGCTTGCTAAGCCCGAGTCATTTCTGGCAGCTGGAGATAGATTTGGATTAGCAAGAAGTACTGCTCGTGTGATTTTTAAAGAAATCGTGGATTTAATTAAACAATTGATGCCCCAGCTAATATCTTGGCCAATAAATCATCAAAATGCTATTAATGTTAGTATAACTTTAATGCACTAACAGAAAATGTATTTAAAAAGTACATTTCAGGTATTTCAAGAAAGATCCCATGGGTTTCCAGGTGTTGTAGGAGCTATAGATGGTTCTCATATCCCAATAAAACAGCCAAAAAATAATGCTAATGATTACTACAACAGAAAAGAATTCCATTCAATAATTTTGCAAGGTACTTATATTAGTTTTGTGTATAAATAATTATTAAAACTGTTTTTAATTAAATGGCTTGTATTTCCTTTCCAGGTGTCTGTGATCATCGAATGCTATTTATTGATGTATTTATTGGGATGCCAGGAAGAGTCCATGACGCAAGAGTGTTTAGAACCAGTGAAATTTATCAGAAATTGATAAATGAAGATAACCCCTTATTACCAAGAGATTTGCATTTGCTAGGAGATTCTGCATACCCACTAATGAAAAACCTGTTAACTCCATATAGAGACAATGGCCATTTGAATGATGTCCAAAATAATTACAATTATAGAATGAGCTCCATTCGTTCGGTAATTGAAAGAGCATTTGGGCGTTTAAAGGGCAAATTTAGACGCTTAAAGTATTTAGATATAGGGGATCCAGAGTTTGGAACGCAAATCATAGCTGCTGCTTGTGTTCTTCACAATTTTCTGATTTTGAATGAATCAGTAGAAGAAGAAATCGAAGAACTATTAGAAGGGGATCAACCAAACCTAGAAATGGACATTGCAGATGAGGGTGGAAATGACAAGAGAAACCAGATTGCAAATATGCTTATATAATAAATATAATTTAATTATTAATTATTGTTTTTTTTGTGCTTCACAAAGTTTTCTCAAAATTTTATTTCTCTCCTCCTGAATATCATTGCTCTTTTCTAAGGCATTTCGTAGAAGCTTGATTTCTTCTACACGAGCTTCCTCGATGGCAGCCAGCCTCTGTCTTAAATAGAACATTCCACTCTTTGATTCCATTTTCTTAGAACTTCTGGAACTAAAACATATTATAAAACACTTTTATTTTTACTAATTATAAAAACAAATATTGCTAGAACTTAACATAAGTACTCACGGAGTAAGTAAACTGGATTCCTTTTGAGGAGTGGCTGGAACACTGGGTTGGGGTAGGTCCCGAGGACCAACTTCATTCAGGGGCTGCAATTTTATTGGCAACTTCTGAATTACTGACAATGGTGTTGAAGTCGCAATAGTTGTTGGAAGATTGACAGTTTTGTCTTCCCTGTATATTTTGTTGAACTGGTGATAATATTCCCAGTAAATTCTCCCCCTTCCTCTTTTTCGAATATTATCTTTTATTCCTGTATAAGTCTTCTTCAAATTCCTCCATTTACGATCCAATATGTCCTCCGTTACGTGATGGCGTTTAGACAAAAATTCGTTTTTAATTTTAGTCCACAGCTTTTTTTTTTAACTTTTGGATCTCTAAATGCATCCTTCAAACTCATGTACTGCTCAACTAATAATTGGGTTGTATTTTTGTCCCATGCAAAAGGTTGAACTACTGCAAAAAAGGAAAATGTGTGTGTTATTTTCTTTTCTAAAAGATTAAAGTTTTTTCGATAAAGTTTGATAGGGTGCTGGGACAAAATAGCGTAGGTCAAAAGAGCGCAGGGACAAAACAAAAGAGAGCAGGGACAAAAGAGCGCAATAAGCGCGCGTTGATTTCGAAGCATTTGAAGAACATGGATGTAAATCAGAGTTGTTAAATAATAATTGTCACTTTTTGTTTCGAATGCAGACGTACTCAAACTAGCCCAAAATAACCCGTTCGCCTAGTGCGATCTAAGATGACATCAGACAAAGACTGAATCACACTAGGCGGACGTGTTATTTTGAGCTAGTTTGAGTACGTCTGCATTCGACTTAAAACATACACGACTTAATTGCGCTCTTTTTGTTTCAGTGCTCTTTTGTCCGCGGTCTTTTGACCTGCGCTCTGTTGTCCTAGAGCCGTTTGATAGAGTAGGTACATACTTTGATTAGGATTAGAGCCTTGATTTAATGAAGTGTTTTCCTTCAAAGTTTCCAGGATTTCCAGGGACTCTGAAAAAAAAGAAACATTTTGCTAATAAAAATACAACATACTTATCCTATATTTTCTACATAATAATCTACTTCTTTATTATTATAAATATATTATTATTATTATTGTATTTTATAATACTTACCATCATAACTTTCCAAGTCTTGCTCCTCAACCATCCCATCATCATCCTCGAACACAAATTCAATCATATTTTTATTATTTTTCACACTTTTAGAAGCTCGCTATTACCGCTACCGCTACCTATCATAAACTAAATGCGCTCCGAAAAATGGCGTCCGCTCCACAACATGTTGTGTATGTAGCGCATGTGTCACCGGACGTTTACGCTAGGGTTGTGCAACAGTTGCGCAACTGTTTCGTCCGCTGAATGCGACCATTGTTAATCAGGCCCTGTCTCGTATCCCAAAATGGCCGCTAGTGACACGGGCTGTCACTCGAGTTAGCCTGCTGATTGTTTTTGTATATGCTGTGCTATTACGGCAAACACGACATCGAAAATTAGAAGTACAGTTCTGTACACTGTGAGAATGATGCAAACAGTTGGAACATAATTTATTCTGTTTGACGTAGGTATTCTTATCCGTTGCCGATTTTTCTAGAAATTTGCAACATTTTGAAAGGGTGTGAGGCTCCTTGCATAAGTAACATTTTATTTGTGAACTTGTAAAACCTGAGGAAACTTTGTTGTAAATTGCAAAAGATGAATTAAGTTTTTTGGGATTTTTGAAATTTTTGAAATTTTGCAAAAATTTATTATTTGTAGGGAAATTATTAGGTTTTATTGCTTTGTTCGACGAACTCTGCTGTAAAGATTCCAATGCCTTGCATTTGCTTTCAAGAAAATTCATAGAAACTGGTCAAATGTCCCTTGTGTCTCCAGATTCACCAAAACCTCCTTGTGTTATTTACCCCACCACTGCGTTATTAAACCAGAAAGTGTAAGTACAACATTACGTGTGTTGTGGGATGGTTCCGCGAAGGGTCCAAAGGTTGAAGCCTAAACGACACTTTACTTTCAGGTCCCAAGTTACAAAAGGACATATTCACACTTCTTCTTACTTTTCGACTTCATTCCGTTGTCTTTATCGCCGACATAAAAGTTCAGGCAAATTCTGGTTACACCAGAACACCGAAACTTTCAAAAAATTCTCTGGAGATTTTCGCCCGACGAACCTTTGTCCGAATGGACATTGAATACAGTTACTTTCGGCCTTAATTGTAGTCCATATTTAGCTATGAGGACACTACAAGAACTCGCTACAGAGGAAGCCGCTAATTTTCCTGAGGCAAGCAAACTAATCATGAATCAAATGCCCCTCGGTTTCTGCTGCCCTTTCTGTACAAAAGCAGCTAATTGATCTGCTTAGCCTGGTGTGTTTCCAGTTAAAAAAATGGGCGTCAAATTCCCCGGAACTTCTTGCTGCAGTACCAAATTCTGATAGACAAATGCCTCTGTCATTTGACAAGGACGAGCCTCATTTTCTTAGGGTCCTAGGCCTTCAATGGCAGCCTTTTTCAGATACCTTATCTTACCAATGTAAGTTAAGTGATAAAATTTGTACAAAACGTACAATTCTTTCGAATATCGGCCGTATTTTTGATCCACTAGGATTCTTATCCCCAGTTTTACTTTCAGCCAAATATCTAATGCAATGCTTGTGGAAATCGAATGTCGATTGGGATGAACCACCCCCTCAAAATATTGTTAATAATTGGCTTCAAACTG